ATCCAAAATCTCTGGAAATGTTCATTAACATTAATAATTTTGTTGTTGTTGTTGTGTGTTATAGAGTCGCTTGCGACTCATAGCAACCCTATGTACAAGAGCTCTAAATGCTGTTCTATCCTGTGCCAACCTAGCCATCTCAAACACACTTATTCCCACCACTCCAGTCACTGAATCGATCCATCTCATCGAAGGTCTTCCTCTCCTTCGCTTCCCCTCTACTCTGCCAAACATGATGACCCTCTCTAAAGTCCAGTCCCTCCTTGCAAGCTGCCCAAAATATGTCCGACGAAGCTTCAGAATCCTTGACTCCAAGGAGCATTCTGGCTTCACCCTCTCTAGGACAAATCTGTTTGTTCTCCTAGCAGTCCATGGTATATTCAACACTCTTCTCCAGCACCAAAGCTCAAAGGCATCAATTCTCTTTCTATCATCCCTAGTCACTGTCCAACTCTCCAATGCATAGCATGTAATTGAGAAGACTGTAGCCCGGATCAGGGGAACCTTAGTTTTCAGCACGATGTCATTGCTCTTCAGTACTCTTGAGAGGTCCCTCACAGCTGACTTTCCCAATGCAATTTGTCTCTTGATTTCCTGGCTGCTGTTACCAAGAGTGTTGATTGTAGAGCCAAGTAAACGAAAACTGTTAACTATCTCAATCTCTTCACCATCCATACTGATGCTGCCAATTGGCCCGGTGGTGAGAATCTTTGTTTTCTTGATGTTGAGCTTTAATCCATATAGGAGGCTTCAGTCCTTGAGCTTCAGGTCTTCCTCAGTTTCAGCAAGCAGGGTTGTGTTATTTGCATAACGCAAGTTGTTGATGACTCTTCTACCAATCCTGATGCCACATTCCTCTTCGTAATTTAAAAATATTTCTTAAAAAATTTAAAAAATAAGACAAACCAGTTTATTCTCCTGGCAGTGCATGTATTATTCAACACTCTTTTCCAACACCACAGCTCAAAAACATCAATTCTCTTTCTATCATCCCTAGTCATTGTCCAGCTCTCTGACACTAGCAAGCAATTGCAAAGACTATGGCCTAGATCAGGAACTCCTTAGTCTCCAGACTGACCTCATTGCACTTCAGTATTCTGGAGAAGTCCCTGCTAGCTGACTTTCCCAAAGCAATTTCCTCCTTGATTTCCTGGCTGCTAGTACCAAGAGTAATGATTGTGGAGTCAAGTAAACTAAAGCTGTTAACAATCTCAATCTCTTCACCATCCATATTGATGCTGTCAATTGGCCCAGCGGTGAGAATCTCGGTTTTCTTGATATTGAGCTTCAATCTATATTGAAGGCTGATGTAGTTAATTCAGCTTTACAAAATTGAAACCCATCTTTTTTTGCAGAAAATATTTCTGCATTTCTCAATTCTACTAATCAAGGTGAAAATTGGAATGTTTCACTCTTTCTATTGCATCTTCAACATCTACTTATGACAGATACATAATTTAAAATCCCTAAATATCCCTCAATTTACCTATTTGTTCCCATTCCAACTAATATCAACTTCTAATTGATTTCACACTCCTTGCCTGAAGTCTGTCATATTTGTTTCACATCTTGTTCCAAGATATTATAGTAACCATACCTCACTTCCTCTAACCTATTCTTCACACTGAAGGGGATGCCAGGTTTCAAAGGCATAAATATGATTACATAAGGGGTAACCTTAAAACTCTTTAGAAATTCTCAAAGTTCACAGACTGAAGTCTAAACTCTAAATTCTGGTCCTCAGGATTCTGCATCTTTCATGCCTGGCCCATGTCTACACTGCACCTCTCTACTACTGGTGAGTTACAATCTGGTCATCCCTAAAACTATTCCATTCATAGAAACAATACACTTATCTTCTGCCTTTTGTATGTGCTGGTCCAAATTTATCGCAAATTCTACTCTTTCGCTTTAACTTACTTTGTTGTGAGGTGATGTTGAGTTAAGTATGTCTCATAGAGACCCTATGAACAAAAGATCTGAACCCTTTTCTATTCTGTGCCATCCTCACACTTCCTGACACACAACAGCCCATTGGAGCAGTCACCATGTCAACCCGTCTGGGTGGGGGCCTTCCTCTCCTTTGCCAACCCTTTACCCTTCCCAACATCATGTCCCTCTCCAAGGAATTGCCTGAAGTAAGTGAGGAGAAACCTCATCATTCTTGCCTCCAAAGTGCATGCCTGCACCACCCTCTCCAAGATAGATTTATCTGTTCTTTTGTCCTTCAGTTAAAAGGTAATAGATTCAGAAAGCTTTTCTTTAACCTAACCTCCTGCACTATGAGAAGGGAAAACATGTTATGCTTTTATATTTGCATGACTGTTATAAGCAGAATAATGATTCTCCAAGGCAGCCCAATTCCTCATTCTTAGACCCAGCGAATACGTTACTTTCCTTGGCAATAGGGATTCAATAGACATGAGCTAAATTGTAGTGATGGGCAGATTGCCTTGTACTTTCAGGTAGGTCCAACTTAATCACATGCGTGCTTAAAAAGGGAGAACTTTTACTGGTTAAAAGAATCAAAGAGAGGTATCACTACACAAGAAAGGTTTCCATCATAAATATAAAAGAATGCTAGTTTAGAAAATGAAGAAAATGGTCATAAGCCAAGAAATGTGGAATTACATCAAGGCATGTGGAAAATGTCTAGAAATGGAAAAGGTGGTGTATTTTCTTCCCTACATCCCTAGGAAGAAATGTAGTCCTGCCAACACCATGCTTTTAGACCAACAGGGCAAATCCCAGGCCTCTGAGCTGGTAAATGTAGAACAACGTAGTTGTACATATTATATCACTAAGTTTATGGTAAATTTTTCTTTATCTCCACTAGCCTATAAGCTCTGTTAAGTTAGAATCAAGTTTACCTACGCCCATGACATTCTCAAGTCCTAGTCCATATATGCACTAAAGTAACCAAAGGAAGATAAAGAAAATAATTTATTAAAGGGTTGAGAATAAAAAATTAAAATCTATAAAACGGAGAATGGAAAGAAGAAGAGGAAAAAAGAGAGGAAGAAAGGAAAATATCTATCTACAAGGCAACTTACAGTCATTAGTAGTACAAATATTCTGTACAAATATGCCTTATCTTCTATATTTGTGTTATCTATCGTAATTATATGGTATTAGTTTGAAGAAAGATTAGGAGCAAATTAGTTAATGCAAAAACGTTTCTCACAATATGAAATAAATTATCAGTGATTCTCTTCTTTGATTACATTCTAATCAAAATCAGCATTAATTTTTGAATTGAGTACCACTGGCTACTGCTGGTGGGGGGTGGGGTCAGAAGCAAGGAATCAATTCTTAGTACAATACTACAGACATACTTACTGTAAGTCAGAGGGAAATTTTTAGCTATTCCTACAAAACACAAAACTAGAAGGGAATGTTTAATATGTATGGATATGTAAGTGTAAAGAAGTTATCCAGCCACTTTATATATATTCCTGATAGCCAGATAGATATTTTAAATTTTATGGATTATATTAAGCATTGCATAAACAACCAAGCTAATGACCAGTCAATCCAAAACTTGTAATGATTGTGAAGGCTGCTGATGTTTGTACCATGTAAAACTCATATATACTCAGACCCACTGCTGCAAAGTCAGAATTGACTCATAGCTGACCCCTCGGTGGGCTTCAGGAGACTGCAGAGTATATGGCAGGAGACTGTTCATCTTGCTCCCCAGAGCCACTAGTGGGTTCAAAGGTCAGAGAGGTGTCACCTTCCTGTTAGTGGTGCAGCTCCCTAGGAACTAAGCTACCAGACCTCCCAGGCACACTTAAATAGTAAATGAAAGTCTCTTGCTGAAAATAGGAAAATAAATAGAATATTTCTGTATTTACCTCACTATTTCCTGGCCTGGTGGTTTGTGTGTTTGTCTATGTGCAAGTTAAGGAGAGAGAGAGCATAAGAAAAAAGAAGAAAAGCAAATGTCTATTTACAAACCGAAAGAATTAGCACCTGAATGGCTTATGAAAATAAATGGTCATTTGTGTTTAATTTTTTTGAGATCTTAGCATCAACTGTGATTTCAATTATTAGTTTGGTATTTTTCCTTCGACTCTCCATTCTCCAGATTATATCTTCCTACTTATACAAATATATACACACATTTAAGAGATGTTCTGGAAGATTTAGCAAGAAAAAAAAGTAAAATACACTACTGCATCATTATCTGTACATTCCATTATAAAGAAAAATGTTACAGGACTTAATTTCTTCAATTTCCCTTAATTTTGCAGATGTAATTGGAGATGATTTATAGTACCATAAAAGTAAACCTGCAAATGTGATGTGAATTTTACCGTACATTGCTAACAATTTCAAATGCCATTTTTTTAAGGTAATAGCAAACGACAATGATAATAACAAACGACAATCTTTTGTAAGATAATAACACACAACAATTAGCTTTGATAGTCTTTCAAGTCAATGACCCTTGCTTTCAAGCTTGATGAGGTATTGGCATGAAAACCAGCAGAAAATTTATTCAAAGAGAGACAGATATATTTACCTTTATGACCACAAAGATTATATATAAGAAGAGAGAGGGATTTATAGCTACAAATTAATTCACATGTTTTATTAACTGAAAAAAAAAACCAACCCAAACCCAAACAACCCAACACAGTACATATTGTATGGCAAACTGACACATGAAGAACAAATTTGCTACTGCTGAACGCTTCTGGGTTGATTCCAAGTCATAGCAACCCTATATGACAGAATGGAAAGAACTACCCCATGTTTCCCAGGCCGGAATTGCTTTAGGAACAGATTGCCAGATCTTATGTCCTGTGGTGGGTTCAAACTGCAGACCATGAAAGCAACAGTCAAGTGTTTAACCACTATGTCTCCAGTGCTTAAGGATACTCAGCAGAGGAAAAAATCAAAGCAAAGCAAACCTAACAGAGGATCTTATTCTGAAATGTATATTTTTCTCTGGAGGTTTAGAGGTCCACGTGTCAGTAAAAGGCACATCCTACCTGTGAGCTGTCGCCGTCTGCTTCGAGTGGTTCCACAATTCCCTGAACAAGGTGTGAACTTGGACCAGGCAGTGAACGTGCAGTCGTCTCGACACGGAACTGTGCATTCTTGCGCAAGGGGAGGCATGCCATGTGTCTGCTTGAGGCATTCTGTCATTTCTGCCAACTGGTTGTCATCAGAAACACAAGAGACAGCTAAAAAGAGCATGGATTCTTTTGTTATTATTTTGATTGCATCATTCAGCTGCTGGTTCTTTGACAAAACAGCAGAATTCCCCAAAGTTTGAAAATCTGGGTATTCTTGTGATTACACAAGGTGCTCAACACAGCTCAGTTGATATCTTTCTGGAAACTAAATTATTATTGTTGCCACTGGAAGTTATTTGAGCATTTAATTGGTTTTTATTATTAACTTAAGTCCTGCATTAATAGCAGACAACTAACTTCTAGTAATTTATTATATATCCCATTTGTGAGCATCTGATCTCTAAAAAAATCTACAAAACCAAGAAGGGGTATCTCAGACACTAAGATGAGGAGACAAAGGACAAAATGCTCATAAATCATAAGAACTTTTTGTTCATAGATTTGAGTTTTCTTTGCTTATTTTCTAACACTTAGAGAACTGCTTCTATTTTTTTTATTTCACATTCAGTGTTTAAGGAATCTAAAATTGTTAAATTTTGTATAATACATACAAATATTTTTTTATAATAAATATCCTACCATTTGTAGATGACTCTTTAAACTTTACTTTACACTTTCAATTAAAATATACGTAGTCACAGAGAGAGAGCTCTGGTGGCCTAGGGATAAGAAGCTGCGGTGCAATCCCAAAGATATGCACCATGAATCCTCCAGCTGCTCCTCAGAAGGATGGGCAATCTCCTCCTATGTGATTACCTGCCTCTGAAAACCCACTGGAGGGTCAGCTATGGGTTGATGCGGACTCAGGTCACATAGTAAAATAACTAATAGCCTTGAGGGAGTATATATATGAGATACTCGTTTTTATTTGACTTTTTCGTCTAATGCCATTTGTTTTGTATAATGATAAACAAACGGCTTTTTTTTTTTTAAATCTTTGTATCTCACTGATTGACTATGGGCTTCCTGAGGAAGTACCTTCATTTTTCGTATTATCTAGACTCGTGCTTCTCCCCCTCAGCGCTCCTGACAGTTTATACTGCATAACTGCGCATGGCATGGCTGTATCATGCATGGCAGCATATTTAGCAAAATCCCTTCTTTTGTCCACAATCTGTTAGTAGCCATCACACTGAATCTGTAATAACTGAAACATCTCTAGACATCGATAACTATTCCCTGAAGAGAGCTACTGCTTTAAACCGATACCTAACTATAGTTCTCCATAGTCATTTATGAGAATATACAGATTCTAAAAATCTCTCTCGCCAGGCCTCTGGCATCAGCATCTCTGGAGCAGAAATCAAGGAATGTTTTTGTCTTAAAGTGACCTAGGTGTTTCAGATCAACTACATTTAGCATGATTAATTTTGGACGAAGTTTGTGCTAATGCCTATCTGCTGAGTTTATCACCCTAAACAATACAACTAGGGATAATCATTACCAAAGTTCTTTAAAACTACCATGCTGCAGGGGACAATGATGACCACACAGGGTCAATGTTGTTAACATAACTTAACCTAAACTTTTTAATCGATGCAAGGTGGGCACAGAGTCTCCTTTCAGTTGTCTATTATCTCACCCTAAATTCTTTTTTCAGCACATAAGACAGAACATCTTTAAGCCTGGTAGAAGCCAAAATCATTCCAAAACTTGAAACATTTAGGTGAAAAAAATCAGCTAAGATGATAATAGTTGGACTCATAAGAACTCCTAGTCAGTGCATCTGCTTTAGAGCAGGAGATTCATTAAGTAATTAATTAATTTCTGTTTTTTCCCCCTCCCTTTAATTCACATCCTAGGGACAAAATCCACTTTGCTGGAAGGCAACAACACCTGCATTTTCTTTCTTAGTAATATTACAGTCGGTAATGATGGAAACAGCAAATGGTGCTTTCTCTCATGTAGACACAAACACATATGATTTGAAATTCATATTTGGATAAAACAATTTGGGGTCAATTTAGAGGATTTTCATCTTGTCAATACTTTTTTTAAGATAAAAATATATGAGGTAAAATGAAAGGGGAATTTAGAATTTTTTTTAAATATTTCTATTCAAAATTTATTTCTCAAAATGAATACAAATGAAGATTTTCAATGGTAATATATCTTTTAGGATATGTTATGTATTTTTCCATAATCCCTTTTGAATAAATTTAGAAATGGAACACAATGATAAAATAAACTCCATGATATTTTGAAGTTTTATAAGCCATCTAAGTAAAAATATTTATATTACAAAATTGACGATTTTTGTAATAATGAAAAAAGGTAAAATTAAGAAAGATTAGCTTCAACATAAAATGGAAATCACAGATTTCAATCATATATCAGTCATGCAAATTCCAATGTCCAAACACCTGGAGATTAAATGTACTAAGCTACTAAAGTTTTTTATCTTTTAGTCTCTTCATGTATTAAACTGAAAATAATAAGACTATATCAGAGAGCTGTGAGAAAATCTTAAAACACTGTCTAGTATAGACTAAGTGTTCAATAAATGCTATTAATTATTATAAGAATGCTTAGTACATGGCTTTAAAAATAAGCAGGTTGATATTTCCCTAGGCATTTATACATGCACATACTCTTTTTCTCCATACCACATTGGTTCCTTGATGAACCTCACAATCCTAACGATAAAGGTGAGAAGAAAATTTTGGTTGAATTGCTGCCTAATTTGGGCACTACATTTACTTAATAGATTGACATGCCCAAAGTATGTTGACTTTAACAGGGTTATGCAGAACAAATCAGACCCATAACTTCTGCAGAATATGGTTAATACTATGGTCTAACAAAGACAGTAGGGGTCTTTACAGGGCAAAGAAATCACACAAAGATGTAGCATGCAGTTTGACAAGAGCCATATTATTCTCAGGACCACTAAGGATCTTTTATTGGTAACCCCGGGGTGAGAGACAAGCGACATACTACAGATGATGCAATCATCATTTAATACTGAGACTTATGGTTCTCAGATTTCTTCAAGTCCAGGAGTCTAATTTCTTTTAAAATTGATCTGTCAGACACGTGCTATTTAGGTGGACACAGTCTGGGTCAGTTAGGTCACAGCAAATCATTTGCAGGCTGCAGTCTAGAGAAAACATTTCTCTTTTGGTGCCTTCCTTTTTCTTCTCAGCATCCCCACTTAAGGCGTTCAAACCTGCAAGTATTAACCAATGCATGATTGTTCTGGGGCAATCCAGTGCCACAGCTGCCCCTTCTTTAAGGGGCATTTAATGTCCCTTAAGAAGCACTGCATGTACTGCATTATTCTGGGGAGGGGAAAGTTCTTTTCAATCAGTATAGTGTAGGGACATTTCTTTCTGATCTCTTCATTCACAGATCTATCTGGACTGAATCATTTAAGGGGAGAGGCAGTTTCATGCTTAAGAGTTAATTATAGTCTATTTATTAAAGTTAGAATATTATAGTCTTTACTGCGTGGAAGTTTTATCCCCAGATAAAATGATTCCAAACATCTCTAAGAGGAACTCATTAGTGTTGTTTGCCTCAGCTGTCTTAAGCTCTGGGTATGCAGCTCCAGAGCTGCGACCTAGGACATCCTTGTTCAATAATGAAGGAGAAGCATATTTCTCAGGCAAGTGGCTCAGACATGGGCTCTCAGGTAATAACTGTCCCCTGACCAATGGGTGTGACAGGGTGACCCGTAACCCTCAACATATATATTTAAAGTCAGAGGTTATATCTTCCTATTCATTGAGTTTTGCAATATATGTAACACATGGAATAGAGTTTAAGCATTTCATCTCCCTCTTGCTTGGCTACTGCATAAAGCAAGATGTGGGAGAAAGGACATGCAGAGGGTTCAATTGCTTTCCCTCACTACTGGGTTGTTGTATTTTGGTTCTATCCCCCAATATATGTACAGCATAAAAAAAGGGAATGCTCTAATATGAAATGTAAAATAACCTGAAAACTTAGCAAAGGGGGCCTGTATGAATAACTGTCTGACAGGTACTTTTGTTTTGTTTTTTTAAACAAAAGGATTGCCACTAATAGAAAATAACTAAGTAACCTTCTTAGTTTTAAACAATGACTAAAATCAACCTATTATGAACTCTTTCTAAATGGTTGGGCTTTTCTGCTTCCTATCCCCTTTAAACCTCTACAGTCGGACATGCTGTGATAAGTTTTTCTTCTTTTCAATTATTATATAAAAAGGGCAGGGGTTAGTGGCCTTATGATAAGAAATGATAATGTTCTCCCCGGGGAGACTGACTGAGTGATGGGCTGGCTTCCTCGGGTCTATCAGCGTGTATCACCTTCACCAAGGACACTCAAATTACCTTCCCCAAGTTGCTTCTGACCAGAGTTCAGCTCTAATAGATGTAGAGAAAGGGCAGAAAGAATTTCTTTCGAGAGGTCACAATTTCCAGGAAATGGGGTGACGTGCTAAAATGCTAGAAGGGTTCTCTCATGACAAGGCTCGCTGCCCCTGTCCTGCAATAGAAACTGCTTCAGCAGGGAAGCAGTGCTGAGTGCCAGTGTACATCCGGGAACTGCACTGGTGAGTAACACCCGCTCAGCTCCGCAAACGTTTATATGACACACTCTGGAAGTCGCCCTGCCCTGGGAAACAAAAGTGAAAAATATCTTTAATAGAAATTAGATTTCAACACACTCAAGGAGCTTCCAGGGCATGGCACTGGCGTCCTGGCATCAGGGAAGTAAGAGAAGTCTTCCTGAAAGAGATGAAGGATGACTGCAAAGGGCCAAGGGGTTAGGACACCTTTGCGTATGTGTAGAGATTACAGACCACAGTTTTACAGAATAAACATTTCTTAATGAGATTTATAAACATATGATGATGCCAAGGGTGTAAACCATACTGTTTTGCATGGCTAACATAACTCTGGTGGTTCAAATTCATCCTCAGTGTCAGGCATGGGCAGTCTCCTTCCATTAAGATTTATAGCCTCCCAAAGCCAATGTATGGTCATTAGTTGCAACTGATTCAATGGCAATGGGTTTGGTTTAATGATTTAATGGTTCTATTCTGCTACCCTAACAGATGAGGC